TCTCTTAGTCCAGGACATCAACATTTCCCTGTGGCGAACACCAGAAGATGTGAGGTCGGACAAAAGCATCTTCAAAAATCAGGGCGAGTGGGAGCTGGTGGGGGTGTTCACCCAGTTCCAGGAGTTCAGTCTAGAAACCAGTAACAGCTATGCAGAAATGAAGTTCTATGTGAGTGGACATGGCTGTGGATGAAGTGGGGACAAAAATGCTTAGACTTCCACATGCTACCTTGGGGTAGCATAACGAGACAAACTGGGAAGGACATAGTAGCCCCCTTTGCCAACTCCAGGACCATACACATTCCATGCAACTTCAGCAAGAGAGGTGGGAACTCAACTGAAGCATCCCCTGTTTATCCTCAACTGCCACAAGCCTGGTGTCAAAGGAAGAATATGGGTCCGTCACTCTCCTTCCCCAAGCAGTCCAGGCTGGAAGTTCTACAAGAGAAGGGGCTGGGTATGGGGTGGTGGTTCCTGGGTTCCTGTCCGCCCAACATCCCCCAAACTTTTATCCTGGTCCCAGGTGGTCATTCGCCGGCGGCCTTTATTCTACGCAGTCAGCCTCTTACTGCCCAGTATCTTCCTCATGGTCGTGGATATTGTGGGCTTCTGTCTGCCCCCGGACAGTGGTGAGAGAGTCTCTTTCAAGATCACGCTCCTTCTGGGATACTCAGTCTTTCTCATCATTGTGTCAGACACACTGCCAGCAACCGCCATCGGCACTCCCCTCATTGGTAAGGCCTCCCTTAGGGAAGAGTTCACTGTGACAGGGACCTGCCCTGCTCACTCCCATGCTTAGTGTGTCTCTTTCTCCGGCTCAGGTGTCTACTTTGTAGTGTGCATGGCTCTGTTGGTGATAAGCCTCGCTGAGACCATCTTCATTGTGCGGCTGGTGCATAAGCAGGACCTACAGCGGCCAGTACCTGACTGGTTGAGGCACCTGGTCCTAAACAGAATAGCCCGGCTGCTCTACCTTGGGGAGCAGCCCATGGCCCATAGGCCCCCAGCCACCTTCCAAGCCAACAAGACTGATGACTGCTCAGGTGAGAGAGGATAGGGACAGATTCATACAGAGTCTGGAGCAGGGATACTGGACAGGATGTAGAAACTGGGTACAGGATGGAAACAGGAGGATGCTTCAGCCAGAGAAGTCAGTCAAACTGGAATCTTGTCTCCTTTTTTAAATTTTTTTTTTTTAAGACAGGGTCTGCCCTGGCTGATCTGGAGCTCACTATGTAGACCAAGCTGGCTTTCACAGAGATGGAATTAAAGGCATGCACAACCAGGTTCAGCCAGGCTCTTTTGCCTTTTTTTTTTTTCAAACCCTTTATCAGCTTAAGGGTAGGATATGGGTGGAGAAGGGTTCAGAGGAGCCGTGTGTAGTGGCACACACCTTTGATTTGGGAGACACAGGCAGGTATGTCTCCATGAGTTTGATGCCATCCTGGTCTACATAGTAAGTTTCAGACCAGCCAGCAGTACCTAGTAAGATCCTGTCTCAAAAGAGAAAGAGAGAGAGAGAGAGAAAAAAAAAGAAGATAGCATGCAACTGAGGCAGACACCAAAGTCAACTTCTGAGCTCCATAACACCCCCCCCACCACCACCACCATAACGCCAGGGCACCCCACCACCCTCCTTTCATACTCAGGTTCTGTTCTTCCAGCCATGGGAAACCACTGCAGCCATGTTGGAGGACCTCAGGACTTGGAGAAGACCCCAAGGGGCAGAGGTAGCCCTCTTCCACCACCAAGGGAGGCCTCACTGGCTGTGCGTGGTCTCTTGCAAGAGCTGTCCTCCATCCGCCACTTCCTGGAGAAGCGGGATGAGATGCGGGAGGTGGCAAAGGACTGGCTTCGAGTGGGGTATGTGCTGGACAAGCTGCTGTTCCGTATCTACCTGCTGGCTGTGCTGGCCTACAGCATCACCCTGGTCACGCTCTGGTCCATTTGGCATTATTCTTGAGTGGGCACAGCCTGGTAGGGAGAGGTTATGGGGCTGGTTAGGGTAAGGATGGGGGAGTTCCCCCTTAGGTCCTGCATCTTGTTTCCAACACCAATTCATCTGAGCAACCCCAATCCCCTTGTCCCCTAAACTTAGTGCTGAAGACCTAGTCTGCCTTCCTGACTTCCCTATCATGCTTGATATTCTAGATCAAGAGAAACCACGCACCTTCTAACTTTACTTATCAAGGCATCAAGCCCTGGTTTCCTTTCCAGTACCTCTATGATTACGGACGCTGGAATTGCTCATTTCCACACATTTTTTTTTGATCAAAGAAAAGCAAATCTTCTCATTCTGCATTTATTTTATCTAGCTCCTAATAGCTCCATCTTCAGGTCACCTCTGGGCACTTTCCTAGTACTCAGCTTCATCTGCCAGTGTGGGCAGGGGATAATAAAATGCTATGGTATCTTATTCTCTATCTGTGACCGTTTGTATTCAGCTTTGGAAAAAGGTATGAGGATGGGGTTACCTGTAGTTTCCATTGACTAGTGCTTCCTGGACCAGGAAACTAGACATCAGCATGGTCGCCATCATCAAAATAGGAGGTGGATCACGGTTTGAAGATCAAGGTTGAGTATTTATCAGATGAGAGGAGAGAGGAAGGCTTTCTGTGACCTACTGGGAAAATACTGGAAGGATCCATGTGGGGCAACTATTCTGGACTTAAGGTCTCTAAGCGGAAGCAGGGAGCAAGTGCTCCCTGAAAGGAAGATACACTTCAGCACCACGGCTAGCACCCACAATTTTTTCCATGTTTAGGAGACACTGAGAATGTAAGGCTTTGACTGACTCTCTGAGAACATTTACTAGTCAGCACATGAGGCTCCTAACCAAAAAGCAGGACTCAGAGGAAGGCAGAGCTGGGTAAATGCTCTTGCATTTAATCTATCCTGGTCCTAGATGCCAGGGCTTAAGAAATGCAAAGGAAGACCTCCAACTCCACTCCATCCACCTAACAGCCATCCAGGGAAAGGAATATTCCGTCGTAGTCTCAAGAGTTTATAGAAGAGGTTTCCCCTGACCCTTTACCTTGTTCCTATCTTATTCTTCTCCATGTCTTGAGTTGTTTGTCACTCAACATAAAGCATGGTAGAGGAAGACTAGACAATGACCAGGCTAAAGGGACAGGCCCCACTAGAAATGTCTCAGATGAGACCAAACAATTCCATTGCCTTCTAAACTACTGCAGGACAGCCAACAATAAGAGAGTCAGTACAATCACTCGGAACGATACATTCTCACACCCTCAAACTCTGCAGTTTCAGTTCATAAACCATATGGGAGACTGGGCAGAGGGCAGAACCCTGGGGCCTCAGCTTTGAAAGACTCTAAGGCTGAAGAAGGGGCTCCCCTGGTTTATCTTTTCTTAGCTGCCTCTTGTCCCAGGATTCCCCACTGTACTAGCTGCTAGCTCCTCCAGTGAACTAGCTCTCCACTGAGATTGAAGTCTCATGGCCAACTCTACTCCAAACACAGGAACTTTTGAGATAACTTCAGAATTTCACACTTATTTTTGTTTTGTTTGTGTGGGGATCAGGGTCTGTTAGCAAACCAGAGAGTGTAGGGCGCACAGCTGCCTTTGGCTGAGCAAGATTGGGCAACATGTGGGGACAGTTACCCTCGTTCAGAACAGGCCCTGCAGTTCCTCACTTGGAGCCTAGTTTTAGAGCCAAAAGCTGTCCCACCTACTAGGACTGCTGGGCATAGTCACACACTATCAGAAGGGTCTCATGTCCCATGCCACAAGGATAGAAAGATGGACAGTCAATGCTCCACTGGCCATTAAGTGGGTGGCTATTGACAAAGTGTTCAAACAGAAAGCTAGTAAGACACTCATCAGCCTATCGATTCCCCATCTCCCCTTTCTCACCCTTCATTCACAATCAATGGGGCGACAGAGCCCAGCACTGAGGCGGCCAATTAACCACCTCAGGAATGAGCTGCCGCATGTAACATCTTCTGGTCCAGCGGCCACATCCAATAGGAACATTGATCTGGCATATGGACTGTGCTTCCCCGGGACAGGAAACTGAGGCCCAGTACTGGAGTGCAGCATCTTCTAGTTATGAATGCTACCCTTGAACTAGAGGTGTCTTTGTCTGGGGACACCTCCAGACGCTTGCTTCCTCCCTCCCTTTCACAACCAAACCTTAGGCTGAGGCAGTCCAAATAGGCTAGGCTGGGTCTCCAGTCCCCAGTATGCCAACTAAAGAGAAAGTAAAGCCAGGAATGGTGGTTTACACCTTTACTCTCAACACTTGTGAGGCTGAGGCATGAGGATTACTGTTAGTTGAAGGTCAGCCTGGCATACAAAACAAGATCCAGGCCAGCCTGCAACGACAGTAAGATCCTGTTGTAAGAGGGTGGTGAAGTTTAATGGTGCTGAGAGAGTTATCCGACGTAGCCATATTGGGATAAATTAGATAAAAGGGTACAATGGCCTAAGTTCATGTTTGGGGTACTGACACGCGCTTTAGGATTAAGGGAAGGAAGGTTGTGGCAAGTGATTCATACCTCTTGGTATGAATAATTGATCGGTCTTGGTCTAGATAAGGACCTGCCTACTCCCACCCATCACTGTCTCATCTGCGAGGTGGTTTCCAGAAGTCTTTGCCTTGAGGAGTCAAGGTGGTCAGAAAACAATGGCTTCTACCCCAGAGTTGTCCTCATCTGGGGAGGGAATAGACTGAAGTAGGAATAAGACAGTTAGTCGGACACTCCCTGAGTGTTGATCCTTCAGACCCACAAAGGAGAGCGCCAAGCTCTAGGTAAAGAAGACCAGTAGCAGGAAGGCAGAGAGCCAGCCTGTCCTGCTTCCGGTTAGCTGTGAAGAACTGAGACCTTGTAGCGCGCTCCAGCTTCTACGGGGCCTGCTTTAGTCTACGTGGCCCCATTGCATCTGATTCTGTCTCACGCAAAGAGATAGGCTGTGGGTCTCCATGCCCGTCCACTCATCTTACCTCCCAAGTGCTCCTCAGCCTATCCTCATCCACCCTGCTTCGGATCAGTCTCCCCCAAACCTCCACCAGAGATAAGTGAGCATGCGCTGCAGCCCCCCCCCCGCCCCCAACACCCGTGAGCCTCGGTGCTCCGCAAGTCTGCAGCTGATGCTGTTAAGAGATTGCCCCTGGTTGCCAGGAGGGGAGCTGCTTTTGCTCCCGATGTTGGCCATCTGCGCTCAACGGCCTCAAAGGCAGGCCCTAGAGTGGACACCTGGCAGCTTTCAGGAGAGCTGGCACCGGGAAGCCGAGCTTAGCAGCCAGTGCTGGAGACAGTGAGTTTCCCCAGCCTAGCTCGGAGGAAAAACTTTCCTGGTTGATGGAGGGGGAAAGTACAGCCCAGTGTTCGCCAGCCAGATTCTCCTCCCTCCTCCCTCCTCCCTCCTCCCTCCCCACCACCCTCCGAATCAATACATTCTGAATCTAATCTAATAACAGAGATTTAACGAGGGGATAATGCGCGTGGAGCCGCCAGGCGCTTTGTCTTCTTCTTTCAGGAGGCAGCTGGGGCCCATTATCTGGGGACAATGCCCCATGCTAATCACTCCCTCTGCCTCCCTCTGCATGTTTGGGGGAGGGGAGATGCTGGGCAAGAAGGGGCAACTCCTATGACTGCACTGGAGGCAGGGAGGATAAAGTCAGACTGGTCTAACCCACCCCGCATAATTGCCTTGGCCTAACACCAACTCCTTGGCCTTCTCCTCTAGCCGAATGGGGTGCCCTGACCTTTGAGAGGTCGAGGGTGCCCCATCAAGGCATGCACACTGCTACCAACTAGGTATCAGCTGGGAGTTGGATGGGTTTTTTGCTTTTTGTCTTTTCATTTTTCTAACATAGTCCTCTATAATTTAAGCTATCCCAGTGAGGCTTGTGATGGCTAGCCCTGAGTGTCATGGTTGGAGAATAAGAATACCCTATCTTAAAATAGAAGCCTGGTTCTTCAATCTCCTCTCTCTGACTCTGTCTCCATCTCTGCCCTGCCCTTCTCTTCCATCCCCCCTCTTCTCTCTGGAAGTGCGGAGGTTAGACTGGAGGAAGAACTTCCTGGCAAGGCCAATGCTAACAATGATTACTAAATCAGGAGTCTGGAAAGAACAAATAACCTTGTATTTCCTAGAAGGCTTTCAAAAGGAGACCTCCAGCTCTGTAGCTTGGGAGGGGGCTTTTAGGGAGGACTGATCTGCCTTAATTCGCTATTGGAGCTTTTAGGAGGAGAGAGTCCAAAGGCATACTTGGACATCACACTGCTTCTAAAACATGTTTACTGTTGTGGAGTGTCAGACCCCAGTACAAAATCTGTCCCCATCCCAGGTCTCCTTGTGTGTCCACCTACTCATCTGTAACGTGGAGCTCACACAGTTCCCACATCTTAGGTATTAGGAGTCTCAAGATCCCAGCGAAGAAATATTCAGGGCTCTAGTAGAGACATCTAGCATCATCCTGGCCCTTCTTGATCAGTTCAGGGAACCATTCAGAATCGATCCTAGAAAATGGTGGGTGGGGACCTTTATCCTGCTTGGTAGACAGAGCCAAATGACCTAGGCACTTACCTTAAGGACATGGGCTAAAGAGCCTGCCCGTGCCTTGCTATATCCAGACACCTGTGACCTTTTTGTCCTTCGGTTATCTCTCACACTCACCCCCTCTCCCCAGCTTCTTAACAGAATTCCTCTATAAAACTTGAGACTCGAGATCCTGCTCTGCCAGTGTGAGAGCCACGGGCATTCTGGAATCACATTCTGAGCCTGACCAGGACTCCCATGCAGCCCCCCCACCCCTCCGTAAACCTTTGTATGAGCACCAAACCCACAGAAGAAAGAGCTTTGTGACTGTGACACTTAGGACTACAAGAACTCTGAAACTCACTTCCCCCAGGTAGAAAAACTTCCTCCACTGAAGGTTCAGAAAGAAACATTCAGCAAAATGCCAGTATGTGGCCCAATCACAACCTGACTTCTAGATTCTGTCCACCAGGTGGCAGCAAAGCCCAGAAGTTCCATGGCAAGTCAGGCACAAAGCCTCTTATTGCCTCTTCCCCGCTGTGCCTTCCAAATAAAACAGCCCTATCCTTCACCAGTGGTATCTGCAGCCCCTTTCCTTCAAGGACAGCCCTGTCGTTTGGGCCAGGAATAAGGACAGCTTTCCTGAGCTCCAGGTACTGAGGCACATGCAGCTCCACCACACACGGCTGCCCACACTGAGCCCTGTGCTCGGAGGCTCCTGCCTATGCAAGGGCAGGATCACACACTCATCTTCTCATCCACAAAGCTCTCTCCTCTCGCTCTCCCCATTTCTGCACCTGTGATGAAGATGTGGTGGCACGGAATACTCTCGCCCAAAGCTCTCTCAGCACAAGCCCTCAGAGGACACTGTTTGTCTCTCCTGCCTGCCCAACTCAGCCCATGCTACACA